TAACCGTTCCACAGGGAAGACGTCGGTGAAGCTGAAGCAGCTTAAGAGGAAGCTGGGGGTCTACAAGAAACTGCGAAAACCCCGGACTCCTCCTTCGGATGCATCCAACTCGGCAACTTCGTCAACGACACGAACAGTCATCACGGAAACTCCGGGCCCTAGAGAAGAGCCTTTCTCTAAGCACCCTCAGCCAGCTGCCAGCTCAGGAGTAGGAAGCAACAAATACTGGGATGTACCCTATGACCCAATCAATGAAACTATCTTTGGATACTCCGAGCAACGCCCGCCCCTCGTGCTCGAGGTCATCTGCAAAGGACGACGCCTCGAAGCACTCGTGGACAGCGGAGCATCGCACACTGTTTGCGACTAGGCAGTAATGAACCGACATCGGGAAGATTACAAGGCCTCAGTATTCTCTTCAACGATGATGGACAGCAGCAAGTTACCAGTACACGGCGCAGCAATGTTACACCTACAAATCGGACCACTACGCTGGAGACCTGCACTCCCCATCACCAACATAAAAGGGCTTGACTTGATCTTCGGGCGAGACTTCCTAAAAAGATTTAACCCCGAGATCAACTGGGTAAATCGCACCGCAAGCATCTACAACAACGGAAAGGGAGTCCAGCTACCGAACTGGGACGATACAGGAGATATCCCGATGGAGACACTCGCAAGATTCGAGAAGGACGTCAAGCGAACCGACACCGGGTTCCTGGCGATAGCAACAGAGGTGGAAAACGATATGGAGAAGACCTCGGAACCTGCAAGAGAAATCAAGGAAATACTGAAGGAGTTCGAAGACATTCTTCCCGACGACCTCCCGGACGAGCTACCGCCATACCGAACGCACCAACACGAGATCGTGGAGGAACCAGGTTCGTAACCAACCTTCCGAGCACCATATCGGTTAAGCCCCACAGAAAATAGCCGACATGAAGAAATAGATCGAGTATCTCCTCGCCAAAGGACTCATCTGTCCATCCACTTCACTGTAAGGTACCCCGGTACTCTTCACACTGAAACCGGACGGAAGCCTGTGCATGTGCATCAACTACCGGAATCTCTACAAGCAGACCATCAAGAACCAGTTCCTGATTCCACAAATTGATGATCTGCTCGACCAGGTTGGGGGAGCCACGGTATTTTCAAAACTAGATCTGCGGTCCGGATACTGGGCAGATACGAATGGCGGACGATTTTGTTCACAAAACTGGCTTCCGAATTCGGTACAGATCGTATGAGTATCTGGTAATACCGTTCAAACTCACCAATGCACCTGCAACGTTCCAAGCAGAGATGAATAACATCCTACGCCCACACTTGGACGAGTTGAAATGATTGATTAGGTAAGGAGCCCAAGGCTCTATAAGTACATGGCAAGGTGAGAGAGAATGGATGAAGGGGGAATTGGAGGGAATCCCCATTGGGACCTTCGGAATCTCCAATTGGGTAATTGGAGATTGGGGGGATCACAATTGGGTGAGGTTGGGATTTGTGAGTACACCCCAATCCACTAGAACATTCACAACCTAAACTAGGATATAAAAGTACAAATACAAAAGTGGTATTTGCAGTCTATTTTTAACACACCCCCATTGACTGCAAACCCGATCAAGGAGCACATAGCCCCATGGAACGGAGAAGGCGATGGTGGTCAGCCTTGCCGAGAGCCTTGGTAAAGAGGTCGGCGAGGTTGCAATCTGAGGCGATGTACCGTACCGTCAGCTCGTCACTCTGAACAAGATCTCGGATGAAGAAATGATGAAGTTCGATGTGCTTGGTGCGAGAGTGGATCACAGGATCCTTGGTAAGGTGAATGGCACTCTGGTTGTCACACCACACGGTGGGCGACTGCTGGGGGTAGCCTAACTCAGCGAGGAGAAAGGAGAGCCAGCGTGCCTCTTGGGCAGCCATTGTGGCCGCGTAGAGCTCGGCCTCGCAGGACGACACGGAGACTGCAGAGGACCGAGTGGAGCGCCAGCTGATAACTCCGCTACCAAGGGTGAAGCAGTACCCTCGGGAGGAGCGTCTGTCAGTCTGGTCATCGGCCCATGAGGAGTCTGTGTATCCCTCGAGCTTGACTGGAGAGGTACCACCAAGAGTGAGGATGTGAGACTTGGTGGCTTGTAGATAGCGGAGGACCCTCTTGGCTGCAGACCAATGCGAGGCAGTGTAGCGTCCGGGGGAGACGTACCGAGAGAGGACACTAACCGGGTAAGCCAAGTCTGGTCGAGTGCACATCATGGCATACATGAGTGAACCGACTAGCTCAGGGTACGAGTCCTTGCAGGCGTCAGGAGAAGGAACTGGAGGGGCCGTGAGCTGATGCTGTAGTGTGAGTGGAGTGGAGACAGAGTTACTGGAGTCCATGTCGAACCGCTTGAGAAGGTTGTCGATGTAAGACTCCTGGGAGAGCGTGATCGTGCAAGCCTGGTGGTCACGAGTGATCTCCATCCCCAGGTAGTTCTTGAGGTCACCAAGATCCTTCATGGGAAGGGCGGAGCTGAGAGCAGACTGGACAGCTGCCATGTCGGCTGGATCTCTGGCGGCTAGAATGAAGTCGTCGACGTAGACGAGGATGTAGAAGGGCTCGGAGGAGTGACGAACGAAGAGACTGGAATCTGAGGCAGAGGGATGGAAGTCAAGTGCGAGGAGGACTTCCTTCACCTTGTTGTGCCACTCACGAGGAGCCTGCTTGAGGCCATACACTGGGCGCTTCAGCTTCCACACTGTGTTGGCAGGGTAAGTGCCAGGAAACCCTGGTGGGTGTTCCATGTGAACATCCTCCTTGAGCTGGCCTTGGAGAAAGGCGGAGGAGGCGTCCATGGACTTGATCTCGAAGTTGCCGCGAGCGGCTGTATCAAGAAGAGCGCGCACAGTCGGGAGTTTGGCCGTGGGCGAGAAGGTTTCGAAGAAGTCGAGATACTCCTTCTGGGTGAAACCCTTCGCCACGTATCGTGCCTTGAACAGTGGAGCTTCGCCTGGGAATTGTTTGACTCGGAAGATCCATTTTCCGCCGACGATGTGGACACCGGAAGGGGGAACAACATCGTCAAAGCTGTTGTTGCGAATGAACGCCTCGTTCTCCATATCCATTGCTGCCTTCCACTCCTTCTTATAAGGCCCCGAGAGAGCTTCCTCTTTTGTACGAGGAGTCGGAATGGTCGGGTTCTCGGTGAAGTTGAGGGAAGGGCATTCAGTAATGTGCGGGAAGATGTGAGAGAGAAATTGGCAGACCGCGTGAAGGTCAAACAAATCCTCATGCCTGTCCTCTAGAAGTGCACGAGGGGGGAATACGGATGGAGGGGACATCACCCCTGGCAGGAGGAGGCGGGGTGACCGAACACCGGATGGAGAAGGCGGCTGGTCCCAAGGCGAGAGGCGGAGCCGGTCCCTTGGAACGAGTGCGACTAGAGATCGAAGACGAAAGCGGCGGTGGGACCGGAGGAACTGGGCGCCTCTGATAGGGGACTGGTGAGCCAGGCTCGACGCGCGGGGAAGGCGGAGCAGGAGGAGGTGCCGCTGCGGAGGATACTGGGGAGGTAGGGTGAGACACGCCGGACGGAGAAGGCCCAGGAGAAGGGGCAGCGGCCGGAGGTGGGGCATCGAAATCTGCCCAAACAAGCGTCGGGGGAGGTGGAGGAGGCTCGCCCGTGGTCGCAGAGTGGAATGGGCGTGTCTCATCGAACACGACATCACGGCTGCGAATCAGCTGTCTGGTGATTGGGTTGAGGAATAAGTAGTCTGGGGAGTCGGAGTTGTGCCCCAGGTACATGCAGGTCTGGGTTTTGGGACCAAGCTTGCCACCTTGCTTCCTGCGTGTGTGGGGGCTTAGCAACACATACGCGGTACACCCCCAGACGTGTAGAGAGCAGGCGGAAGGCGTGACTGTTAGAATATACCATGCTATGCTAGTTGTGTATATTGTGTTTACATCCCTAGTTGGGTGTACACCTGTGTTGGGGTGTCAATCCAACCCAATTGTGGTTGGAGCCCCCAAACACAAGGACCACAGTTGTGGGGGCACCACAAGTGGGTTGGCTAAACCACTGGTGGTACACCACACTTGGACCACCTCCAACTGGTGGTCAACCACATTTGGAAGGAGCCTCCCTCCCTTGTGATTGGTCCTAACCCCCCCTTCCCTTCCGACCTTCCCTTCCTAGCTCATCTCTCTCTTCCTATGTAATGCCTTTCCTTCATCAATAAACTGAACCTTTCTGTTTCTAACATGGTATAGAGCAATAATGGCTCACGCCAACTTTTAAATCCCGATCCTTCCCCACGCTTCCGCCCCGTCCCCTTCCGACGTGCACCTCATTGCCGTCCCCTCCATCGCCGCTGCTAGACTCCTAGCCGCCGCCTCTCAACTAGTTTTCTGTTGGGTGGATTTTCAAAAACCCCCAATGCGCCAAACGCCATAGCTCGCTCGATAGTTGACAGAATTGAGTGACTCGACTTGCAAAAGAACGCTCTTGGTGTCAGCTACAACGTCGTAAAATTTCGGACTGTTTCTTCGCTTGGATTGTCAGATATCGCTTTCCGAAGTTTGCACACTTTCTTGGATGTGATCACGAAGTGCTACTGAAATTTCTACCAAGTCCTATTTTCATCAGCTAACTGCCATCTTTCCCCATCTTTTCCCTCCTCACCTGCACCTGCTCATCGCCGCCTTACCACTGCTGCAGCCGTAGCAGCAGCAGCAGAAGCAGCAGCAGCACCAGAAGGAGCAGCAGACTCAGCAGCAGCAGCAGCAGCAGCAGCAGCAGCAGCAGCAGCAGCAGCAGCTGAAGGAGTAGCAGCAGCAGCAGCAGCAGCAACAGCGGCAGCAGCAGCAGTGGCAGCAGCAGCAGCGGCAGCAGCAGCAACAGCAACAGCAGCAGCAGCAGAAGGAGCAGCAGCAGCAGCAGCAGTATCTACAGCCATCCCCATCCTCCCCTCCTCTTTGAGCCGCCGCGGGTCCACCCGCCGCCGCTCCCTCCCGGCCACCGCGGGTCCACCCGCCGTCGCCTTCCTCCCACTCCGTGTCACCAATGTCATCCTTTCCCCCTCCCGTCGACGTCTCGACCCTCGATCATCTCGTGCGCGCTGCCGACAACTCAGCAACCAATTGGTATTCCTTCGTCGGCAGCCTCCACCGCGTCCTCGGCAGTGCTTATGTCCTGCCGTTCCGCCTCCTGGACATCATGCTTGGTCTCCCAGAGGGTGACCTTGGGGACCCGCCGCCTCACCCTGGCGATCCCCCCCCTCTCATTCCCCATCCCGGCGAGGAACCTCCGCCCCCCATGGTACCCGTTGGCACCAGCACTCGCGCTGCCACCGCTGAAGTTGAGCAGCTCTTCCTTACTCAGCGTCGTGAGTTCCTCGTGCTCCATACTGATTACCTGATCGCGTTGGAGGAACACGAGCGGTCGGCAACCCTCCGCACCCAGCATGCCGCTACCGCCGCCGCTTATGCCGCTGACTCTGCGCGATTTGCTGAGCGTCGTCGCGCCTGGCTCGAGGCGGACAGCCGTGCTACTGGTGCCCTTCTCCTTGCCATCCCGTCTGCGCTCATGCGCAACTTCCAGGCCCGTCGCATCGGCTCCCGCCAGATCTGGCTCGAGCTTGAGGCAATGTTCGAACGCACCGACTTCGATGCTGTCGGACCGCTCTTCAAGGAATACTTCAGCATCACGATCGAACATAGTGCTGGCGCCGTTGACTACACCAGCCGTCTCCTGGACCTTGCCTCCTGCCTTGAGGCTCGCCAGACTACTCTCCCCCCCAACCTTCAGATCTACCGTCTCCTCGAAGGCCTCTCCCCTCAATATGAAGTGCGCGTCATCGCCTTCACTGAGGCTCAGCCCCGCGCCTCCCTTGACACTGTGGTCCAATGGATCATTGACGCTGAGGCCCGCCTTCTCTCAACCCCCCCCTCCGGCCTGAACTCCACCGCGTCCCAAAACCCCCAGCTTGCAGTCACACAGCCGCGTCGTGGCGGGCGCCCACGTGGCGGCCGCACCAACCCTCAGGGAAGGGGTGGAGGTGGCGGTTGTGGGGGCAGTGGAGCCGGCGGCGGTGGTGGCGGGGTCGAGGGTGGCAGCAGTGGTGGTGGTGGAGGCAGTGGTGGCTCATCTGGTAGCCGTGGTGGCCGCCCTGGCACTCTTCCCCCATGTTCCTATCTTCGCCGTTTTGGTCCCAGGGCGGGTGAGCGCTGCACCCAAACCAACCATCCCCCCGCAACCTGCTTCAAGGCGTATGATGACGCCTGGTTCGAGCGCGGCAACACTGGCACCCCCCCACGCTGGTCTGCCATGGATCCCCGCCCCTCTCTCCAGGATGTCAAAACTCTTCCGTCTTTCCTCCCCTCTCATCTTCAGCTCTCCTCCTCCTCCTGCTCTGTCGCTGACCCCATAACTCCCCAGGAGCTGCAGCAGTTTCGCCGCTTCCAGCAGCTGCAGCTGCTGCAGCAGCAGCAGCAGTGGGGCTCTGGTGGTCAGGCTGCAGCCGCAGCTGCAGGAGCCGCAGCCGCAGCATCTGCATGGCAGCAGCAGCAGCTTGGCTTTGGCACCGCCGCCATGGCTGCCACAGCCACACCAGGTCCTCCTGGCCTTCCCCTCTGGGGCTCTCCTTCCCCTAGTGCTCCCGCCTCCCACTCCAGCTTTCTAGGCGAGCTCATGCGTTCTTCCCCTGCTTCCACTTCCATGTATCCCTCTGTTTTTAATGCCAGTGATTTCCAGTACCCCGTGTCTTCAGCTCCCTCCTCGCTCACGATTGACTTTGTTCTCGATAGTGGTGCCACTGAAACTGCCCTCAAAGACGCCGGCACCCTCACCTCCCTCCCTTTCCCCACCAACGTTCATGGTGCTGATTCCAGCTTCTCCATCCCTTGCACTCATCTCTCCACCCTCCCCTGCCCCCCCTTCCCCTCTGGAGTGGTCACTGGTCTCCACATTCCCTCCCTTCGTTATAACCTGCTCTCCATTCGTGAACTCCAACAGGCTGGCATCACTACCCTCTTCCCCGCCTCTGCCACCTACTGTGACCTCCTCCACGGCCCCACTCGCCGCCTCCTTCATCGCCTCCCACTTTGCCCTCGCTCTCGTCAGTACATCCTCCGCACACCCCGCCCCTCCTCATGCCACGTGACCACTCGTGCAGGCACCTCCACTCTCCCCCCTCCCCTCCCTCTAGAGCCACCTTCCTCCAACTCCACCTCCTCCCCATGCTCTTGTCGCGCACTGTCCCACCCCGCTGTTCTCATCCACCACCGCCTTGGTCATATGAACTTTCCCACACTTCGTAAAGCCGTCTCCTCCCGCTTGCTTGACAGTCTTCCCCCCACTCTTCCTCCCCTCCCGTCCTCTTCCGCTCCCCCATGCGCCACATGCATTCATGGAAAGCTCAAACAACAGCCTCACCTCAGTCATCCTTCCTTTGCTGCTGCCCCCCTTGACCTCGTCCACATGGACCTCTGGGGCCCTAACCCTTCCCCTTCCCGCCAAGGGCACCGGTACCTGCTTGTCCTAGTCGACGACCACAGCAGGTACTCCTCGGTGTTCCTCCTCCACACGAAGGCCGAGGCCCCTGCTGTCATCGTTACCTGGGCCGAGCAGTGCCGAGTCCACTTTGGTCGCCCCATCCGCCGCCTCCATTCCGACGGCGGTGGTGAGTTTCTCAACCGCACCCTCTCCTCCTACTGCTCAACCCATGGCATCCAGCAGACTCATACCCTTCCCCACTCCCCTCAGCAGAACGGTGTTGCTGAGAGTCGCATTCGTGAGATCACCAAGACGGCCCGCTGCCTCCTCACGCATGCCTCCACGCCCCCTTCTCTTTGGGGCTATGCCCTTGTCCATGCTGCTCTCCTTACTAATCTTTACCCACATCCTCAACGCCAGTCTGTCACTCCCACTGAGCTCTGGGCTAGCACCAAGCCAGATGCTGCCATTCTCCGTATCTGGGGTTGCAAGGCATATGTCCTCATCCCCCCACCTGACCGCTCTCGGCAGGCAGGAAAGCTCGCCTCCAAGGCCATTGAGTGTGTCTACCTTGGCCACGCTCGCTCTGCCCCTGGTTACCTCTTCCTTCACCCGTCCTCAGGCCGCCTCCTACAGAGCCGTGACGTGGTGTTCGATGAGAGCATCCCGTTCTATCATTCTGTTCCGCCTTCCGACCCCCTTCCTCCTCTCTCCCGCCCCCTCACCTGGGCTGATGCTGTCATTCCCCCACTCCTTCCCCAGGCTCCCCTCCTTCCTCCAAATCCTGCTCCTCCCCCTCCTCCTTCCTCAGGTGACATTTACGACCCAGCTGTCCCTGACTCCCCTGCTCACTCTGCCTCATCGCACCAGCAGCAGCAGCAGCAGCAGCAGCAGCAGCAGCAGCAGCAGCAGCAGCAGCAGCAGAAGGAGCAGCAGCAGCAGCAGCAACAGCAGCAGCAGCAGGTGCAGCAGCAGCAGCGGATGGAGCAGCAGCAGCAGCAGCAGCAGCAGCAGCAGCAGCAGGAGGTGCAGCAGCGGATGGAGCAGCAGCAGCAGCAGCAGCAGCAACCGCAGGCAGTGCAGCAACAGCAGCCGCAGCAAGAGGTGCAGCAGCCGCAGCAGGAGGTGCAGCAGCAGCACCAGCAGCAGCCACAGCAGCAGCAGCAGCAGCAGCAGCCACTGCAGCAACCTCATCGGCATCGCCGCACCACCTCTCCGTTCATCCTCCCACGCATCCACACTCGCTCTCACGGCCCACTCATAGGCCATCCATGGGGTTGGCCAACACCACCCCCACCCTCCCTTCCCTTCATTGAGGACTCCCATGAGGAGCTCATTGGCGTTCAGCAACAAACACCTTCCCTCACGCCTCTCTACCCGGGCTTCCTTGGCCTCCTCATCCTTGGCATCGCTACCGCTCCCACCAGATTCACTCCGTCCAACTTCCTTGAGGCCATCACCTGCCCCGATGCTGCCAAGTGGATCCAGGCTATCTTTGCTGAATGCGAGGCCTTCATCCGCAATGCCTCATTCGTTAACATTGTCCCCTCTCCTGACGACGTCATTGTTGAAGGCCTCTGGGTGTTCCGAGTGAAGCAGCTGCCGGGTGAGGAGCCGGTCTACAAGGCCCGGTATTGTGCCAAGGGCTTCACCCAAACCCATGGCATCGACTACTGGGAGACATTCTCTCCCACTGCCAAGCTCCCAACTCTCCGTGCCATCCTCGACTATGCTGTTCGCATTGGCATGGAGATTGCCTCCATGGATGTCTCCAACGCCTTCCTGCAAGGCGAGCTCCAGGAGCGGGTCCTCTTGCGGCGGCCTCCAGGCTTTCATGCAGCCTTCCCTGCCAACACAGTCTGGGAGCTGCGCCGCCCGGTTTATGGCCTCAAGCAGGCTCCTCGCGAGTGGCACAACAAGCTGGCTGCCACTCTGCAGTCCTTGGGGTTCCATGCCTCTCAGTCTGATGCCAGCCTTTTCCTTCGCTCCTCTCCCACCCGCTTCTTCATCCTGGTGTATGTCGACGACATGATCCTGTTCGCTGACGATGCTGCCGCCATGCAGCAAGTGAAGGACGCCCTGCATGCGCGCCTCAAGTGCAAGGACCTGGGTGAGCTCAAGCACTATCTGGGCATGACCATCACCCGGGACCGCACATCGCGCACCATTACCCTCTCTTGGTCCTTCTACATCGACCAAGTCTTGCAGCGGTTTGACATGGCGCAGGCCAAGCCGGTTACCACTCCCCTGCAGACCGACCACCAGCTTGCCCCTCCTCCTGCTCCCTCCTCCTCTGACCATCCTTACGCTGAGCTCGTCGGCTCGCTGATGTACGCTATGAGGTGCACCCGTCCCGACCTTGCCTACCCCATCAGTGTTCTTGCTCGATTCGTCGGTACCGGCCGCCACACTGATGAGCACTGGGCTGCAGCAAAGCGGGTCCTCCGCTACCTCCGTGGTACCAAGGACTATGTCCTCACCCTCGGAGGCGCTTCTCCTCCCCTCCTCTCTGGCTTCAGTGACTCCTCCTGGGCTGACTGCCAGCCGGATCGCCGTTCCTCTCAAGGCTACGGCTTCACCCTTGGCAGTGGCCTCATCAGCTGGCGCTCCACTCGCTCCTCCTCCATCGCCCTCTCATCCTGCGAGGCTGAGCTCTATGCTTGCACCATGGCCGCTCAGGAGGCTCGCTGGCTCACCTTCCTCCTTGCTGAGATCGGTGCTCCTCAGTGCTGTCCCACCCTCTGGTGCGACAACGCCAGCACCATCCATCTCACAAAGGACCCTGTCTTCCATGGCCGCTCCAAGCACATTGAACTCCGCTACTTCTTCGTTCGAGAGTTGGTCCAGCAAGGTCACTTGGTGGTCCGCAAGATCGCTGCAGAGGCCAACTTGGCCGACATCTTCACCAAGGCCCTCCCGAAGACCGCGCACTCTGCCCTCCTCCGCCTTCTCGGCCTTGGGCCCCGCCCCCCTTCCTGATTCTGGGGTTGTACCCTACATATACACTAGCTTTGCATGCTATGGGGTTGTGTTAGAATATACCATGCTATGCTAGTTGTGTATATTGTGTTTACATCCCTAGTTGGGTGTACACCTGTGTTGGGGTGTCAATCCAACCCAATTGTGGTTGGAGCCCCCAAACACAAGGACCACAATTGTGGGGGCACCACAAGTGGGTTGGCTAAACCACTGGTGGTACACCACACTTGGACCACCTCCAACTGGTGGTCAACCACATTTGGAAGGAGCCTCCCTCCCTTGTGATTGGTCCTAACCCCCCCTTCCCTTCCAACCTTCCCTTCCTAGCTCATCTCTCTCTTCCTATGTAATGCCTTTCCTTCATCAATAAACTGAACCTTTCTGTTTCTAACAGTGACCCCAAGCCAGAGAGCGGTAGGTGTGGTGTCGGGCCGGTGGGGATGCGGATAAATATTGAACAGGAGTGCCGCATGGAAGAGGGCATATCCCCAGAGTGACCGTGGTGCGTTGGCGTGACTGAGGAGGCAGCGAGCGATCTGAACCAAGGTGTGGTTGCGGCTCTCTGCAATGCCGTTCTGCTGCGGGCTTTCGGGGAGCGTGAAGGTTTGCCGAATCACTTGGGCTGCACAGAAGTTATCGAGTTTGCCATTGCGAAATTCTCCCCTGCCATCAGAATGGAGGCACTTCAGAGGAGTGCCGAACGTGACTTGAGCCTGGCGCACCCACACCATGATGACATCAGGTGCCTCCGCCTTGGTATGCAGGAGGTGCACAGAAACATACCGCGAGTGGTCATCGACTAGTGTAAGAAAGTACCGATGACCGCCTCGGGATGCGACTGGAGCTGGGCCCCAGACATCCATGTGCACTAGGTCCAGCGGAGCAGCTGCGACGGATGGGGAGGAAGGGTGCGGCTGCTGCCTGAGCTTGCTCTTGGTGCAGTCCAGGCAGGTGGGTGCAGGCGAGTCTGTTGGTGGAGGAAGCGCCGACGGGAGGCCAAGAAGAAGTTTCTTGGAAGCGATGTCGGCAAGTGTACGGAAGTTGGGGTGACCCAAGCGATGGTGGTAGAGGATGGTTGGGTTGGCGAAGCTGCGACACGAACACGGAGTGGTGCTGGCAGCTTGCGCTTGGGAGAGGGCGGCGAGAGGTGCAGGTGAACGCATCGTGTAGAGCTTGCTGCTGTTGAGTATGAAGCGTGCTAGGAGCTTGTTGGACTTAGGGTCGAAGAGGTCACAGTGATCCGAGTGTGCTGGAAAGATCGTGGTGACGCCTGCCCGTTGGAGGTCGTGTTGGGCCACGAGATTGTGGCGTAGTGTGGGAACACACATGCCAGTCACACTGCCCGAAGGAAAAGCTGGGCACGGAACTGTGGAGGAGCCCTTGGTGTGTGTTGTGAAACTGGAGTCTGCTCCTAGTAGACGGACTGGTGTCTCGTATGGCTTGAAGGAGTGTTCTTCCTTGAGAACCGTGTGAGTGGCCCCACTGTCGAGGGTGAACTCTATTGTGGCTGAGGTGCTTTGTGAGCCAGGATACTGCGAAATCGTCTCATTAATCATGGCAGTGCAAGGGAACAACATGTTGAGGCGCACATCAGTAGGTGCAGCCACAGCAGCCTGCACGGATTCCTGCGCTTCGACTTGATTGACTTGGCGAGGAGCACGATTGACCATCCAGCTTGGCGGCTTGCAGGCGGTCCCATTGACGGCATACCACTCGTCATCCTTTTTCTTAAAGCAGGAGGCAAGGGCGTGGTTGGTGCCGCCACACACCTGGCCAGCACGAGGGCCGCGCTTGATGACGTAGGGACACGGGGGGAAGCTGTTGCGCTGGAATGGCACCGAAGCGGCATAGGCTTGAGGCACGGGAGCGCGGATTGCATTGGCCTTGGCTTGAGCGCTGTTGTCCTTTTCGGCAGAAAGGAGCGCGGATGAGACCTTGGCAAATGTGAGGTCTGCAGGAGCAAGGCCCAAGAGCATCTTGCGTGTGACTTCGTATGCCGGAGTGAGGCCGACATGGAGAGGGGCTGCAGGGGCTTGCTCGGGGAAGACTATCCCCAACTGTTTGAGTTCACCATGAATAGACTGCACCTTGGTGACATAGTCCGCCATGCCTGGCGAGTCCTCGAGCCGCCTTTGGAACATGCTGGGGATGAGTATAGCAACTCCGAGAGCAGTCTTGTTCAGGAAGCGGTCTTCGAGGTAGAGCCAAATGGCGTTGGCAGACGGGTAGTTGTGGTAGGTTTCGACGAGTTCGGGAGGAGTGGTGCCCATGAAGACACTAATGACCGCACCATCGGCCTTCTCCCAATTCTTGTACTTGAGCAGTGCAGTAGCATAAACTGCTTCGGCGGCGGCATTAGCTAGATCGGCGGACCTCTCGGGTTTAGGAGGCTCTTTGCTGTCACCGATGTTGAGAAGGACGTCGGTGAGCTCGAGCCCCTTCACCTCGCGATTGAGGAGGTGCTTGTCGACACCATAGCGCCAAGCCTTGTAGTTGGAGCATGTACCGTCCGGCTCAAGACGAAGGAGCGGGATCGGGTTGGCGAGTGAAGTGGTTGAGTAAGCCATTGTCGGTGTGCAGCGCGGCACTTGTGGATATTGGTCGACGAGAATTGCTGAAAATCACTCTGACGGCTTTATCAAAATGCCGCTAAGTAGGAAATGGCATCGGCGAAATTTCGTTAAAACGCCGACTTGAAACTGAATCTGAGCCTATGTCTAACCCCGGACCCACACACCCCCCCACACACCCCTAGGCCCTGTCCCGCAGCTATACAGCTCCGCAACCAGCTCCGCTACTAGCTCCGCAACCAGCTCCGCTCCGCTTCAACCTGTGTACCTGCTCTTGCTTGACGCGTGACGTTCGTGGAGGCGATTTTGCGATGGGAGTTCGCCTATTCTGGCGGTGTCTGAGGGGAAACTCGAGAACGAGTTTTAAGAGGTGGTCGAAATAGAGATTCGACCAAGAAGAACCGAGGAGGAAATCGACGATGAGAAGTGTGAAAGCTTCAAAGATGAGAAATTCGACGAGGTCGAGGGCGAATGCGGTTGACGATGAGAGGCGCGACTGCAGAGTGGAGCACGTCGAAATTCCGACGACTCGAGACGATTGTCGCGACGATGAAGTGCGCGTAGCGCGGGTACGTTAAGATTAGGACCTTGATCCGCGTGTGCGGATAGGTCGCTCTGATACCGTGTAAAAAATTGAGTTGAAATGATTGATAAGGTAAGGAGCCCAAGGCTCTATAAGTACATGGCAAGGTGAGAGAGAATGGATGAAGGGGGAATTGGAGGGAATCCCCATTGGGATCTCCGGAATCTCCAATTGGATAATTGGAGATTGGGGGGATTACAATTGGGTGAGGTTGGGATTTTTGAGTACACCCCAACCCACTAGAACATTCACAACCTAAACTAGGATATATAAGTACAAATACAAAAGTGGTATTTGCAGTCTATTTCTAACAAGTGCGTGGTGGTGTACTTGGATGACACCATCGTCTACTCGTGCGTCATGCAACAACACGTCGAACACCTGCGACGCGTCTTCGAGATTCTTTGACGAGAACGCTTCTACGTCAAACCACGATGTCCTATACGCAGCACACTTTCGTAGCAACAAGATGCTCATCGGTATTGCAAGGCACTACTACTGGCCCCATATGGCAGATGACGTCAAAAAATTTGTCACCTCGTGTGCTACGTGCCAGCGGATGAAGAGCAGCAAGCAAAAAAAGGCAGAATTGTTACAACCTCTTCCTGTCCCAGAACAGCCATGGCAAGTGGTTAGCCTGGATTTCATCACCGGCTTACCCACTACCACAAGGGGCCATGAGGCGATCCTTGTCGTCATTGACAAGTTCTCCAAAATGGGCCACTTTTTCCCGACACACACGACAGCTCGCACCGGGGAGACAGCACAACTCTTTGTTCGCTACATCATCTCACAATATGGCATTCCAACCACAGTCATCTCCGATCGAGACCCCAAGTTCACCAGCAAGTTCTGGAAGGAACTGATGTCTCTACTCGGGACCAGAGTCGCCATGTCATCCGCCTACCATCTGCAGACAAATGGACAGACTGAGCGCCTCAACCAAATTGTGGAGCAACTCCTCCGCGCCGCATGCAATGACAAAATCTCTGAATGGGACTTCCATCTGCTCGTCCTGGAGTTTGCGTACAACAATGCCACTCACGCCGCTATAGGACAGACGTCGTTCTTCCTCAGCCACGGACGCCACCCACTCACGCCACAAAAACCGACAGCATCAGCCACAGTCCAACCCGCACATGACTTGATCACGACCATGCACCACCTTTGGGATCGGACCCATAAGCGCCTTCTCGATATTCAGCAGCAACAGAAGCGCCAGGCCGATCGCCACCGCACCGACCACACCATTACCGTGGGAGAAAAAGTTCTCCTTGATACCCGCAATATCAACATCTATTATCTCCCATCCAAACTGCGACCTCGCTTCTGCGGGCCCTTTCTCGTCAAAGCAAAGGTCACTCCTGTTACCTTCCGCTTATGCCTACTAGTTACCTGGAAGATTCACAACGCCTTCCATGTCCAACTTCTGAAGCCCTATCGCGACCCTAACACGGTCTTCACCGGACGCCAACCGCCGCCGCCACTGCCCGTCCTCGTCCACGATGAACCTGACCACGAGGTCGAGTCTGTGCTCGCACACCGCCGTCGTCGGAATGGCACCGTGGAGATTCTCATCCGTTGGAAGAATTATTTTCCTTCTAAGGACACTTGGGTTCCTGAATCCGAGATGGGTAACGCTCGTCGTCCTCTTCGCGACTACCTTGTCAAGCAGGGTGTTACTTCTACCACCC